TACGTTAGTCTTAAAATTACGGGAACTCGGCGCCTGCGAGGCTCGAGGTAGGCCAGCCCGCAGTACAGGCACACACTGCAGGCAGGATGTTGCCTACGCATCAGGCGCTATGGGCGCTTGCACACGCTGAACCTCGCTCAACTTGGCAAGGTTCGCGAACGCAAATGCAAACCCGCCACATTAGAGTTTGCAATCGGTCGGGCACGGCTAGGGGAGCTTACCCGATTGTCTTCTGTCCCTCTAATGTCACGTCAGATAGGAGTGAGAGTGAGAGAGACAGAAGACAGTCGGTTAAGCTCCCCAGGCCGTGCCCGACCGATTGCAGACTCTACGCCACACTATGTGGTATTTGCTCTGGTACAGCCGGTAGGAGCCTGACCTACGCCCGCCACGCCACGCCACGCCACTGTGCCGGTCTGCACCCGTTCGCCGCCGGAAGAGAGGCAGGTCAGGGAGCCCGCGACCGTACGCTACGCTACGGCATCATTAGGCTGAGAGACCGGCCGGTAACGAGCCGCGCGTGGCGCTCGCTTGTCTCGCGCGGGGGAGAGGCAGAAGCGGCAGAAGCAGCAGAAGCCGCCCGTCTCTCTGAGATTCCTCCCCGGCGGACGGGATGTTGTTCGGCCGCAGACTGTTAGCTCTCAAGCTGTTAGTTGGGCGCCCCGCCGCAGAGATGCACCCCACGACGGTAAACAAACGCGAGGCACCTTTCTTATCGCTGTCCGCGAATCTCTCTCTCTCTGCTCCCGTCCACTTTCTTCCCGCCGCCCATAGCACGACCCGGTAGCATTTCCTGACCAGCGGTGTGGGACTAATGCGTACTAATACGCACTAATGCGTACTAATGTCCGCGCCGATGGGCTGGTGAGCGAGGAGGGTCGGGAGGTGCAGCGGGTTGACCCTGAAGGGATGGGCCGGTCAAGGTGCAGCGGGCGGGGCGGCCGGCCGCGTGGCCCCTGCACTGTGCCAAACGCGGACAGGAATACAAATGCGCGCGCCAGGCACGCGTATAGTCGCTCTTTCTCTCTCTTTCTTTCTCCTCGTGCCCCTGATGGCCCGACCCCGCCACGCCTGCTCACCCTTGCTTCTCTCTCTCTTTCTCTCCCGTTCAGGAACGAGAAGTGTTCTCCACGACGGTGCTGAACGGGGCCTATTGTGGACGTGTCCTTGCCAGCGACGAGGCAAGCCACAGTATCTCATCCTTCTATTGAGTTGTTTTGTGAGATCAGTTGGGACATATTTTCACTATTACCAACACATTAGCAGCACTATAAAACAGACAAAGAACAAGTGTATTGCAGGGTTGAGACTGGATGCGATTGACATTTGTTGGTTATGTTTCTAGTAAGAGTTCAGCCGAGAGTTCAGCCAATCAACATATGGTAATCGCAGCCAAGTCTAAACCCTGCAAATTTGTTTCCGCGAACTTGCACTTTGAAATAGTTCGAAAAATACTGGGTATCAAGACCCGTCTTTTTTTTCTTTCTTTTTTTCAAGTCACTAAAAATTAATGCATCCGGCCCAGGGAAAAATTTGCTTCCTTTCGATTGACAGTTTCTATATTAGAAAGATCGAAGGATGAAAATTTGTCATTTACAGGATGAAGATTCGCATCTTCTTCAGATGTGCTTTCCAAAATGCATACCGCACAGAACATACTTTATCCTTTAAAAAGTTCGCCTTACGGTTTTGCAGTGTGTGCAACAGTGACACCCCGCTCCGCTCTGCGCTGCAGCCGGCTGCAGCGGTGTGCTGGTCCTGACCCGAGTGCATCCCCGCGACCCTATTCGCATGGCTAATGGCGCGGGCCGTGTCTCCTTTGACTGGTTGGTGCGCCTCGGTGACGCAACGGGCCCGCGAAGTGATCGAGGCGAGCCGAGGGCATCGCGGCCGCGCCAGCAGCGGCGCCAGGCGAACAACCCAGAGGTGCGACGCGTCCTCACGCACTCAGCAGGACTTCCCCCGCGACTACGACTTCCCTGCCTGTATGTGTTCCTTCGAAATTGCAGCTGATATCCCCTTCCGACACCTGCTGTGCATCCTGCAGCTGCATCAGGTGCGTGCGGGTCGGGCGTATCGTACCGCGGCCGCCGGGGATGCCTCTTCTAAACACACTACTTTCCGTCAAGGCACATGCAGAAAACAACAACGCAAAAATACATGAACATGGACACATTTTCCCTTTCCTTTCTGAAACACAATGACTAGAAATGTTTCAAGTACAACTTTCAGGTGTCTGCAGAGCTTCGAAACCCCCAGTGCCATCGTGCTCTCCCTCCCGTGAGCACGTGTGTGTCTCTGTGTGCGTGAGGGCGTGCGTGCTGGCCGGCCGGCTCGTCCGTCCGTCCGGCGTCCGGCCTTGCTTGGCCTTGCCGCACTGACGGCCCGGCTCGACACGCGGTCTCAACAGTTCATCACAATAACACTTATTGCTCTTTCTCCCCCCTCTCTCTTTCCCTCCGGTACGACACGCAGCACACAAATAAACTCTTACCACGACATTATTTACTCGTGGAAAAAAATGACAACAATAAATAATACAATTTATATCAATAATTATCAAATTTTGACTACAGAGCTATCTGTGGAACAACGGAAATTGTCGATTGATTGCTGCACCTAAGAATTATTACCACTGAAATACCGATATGGCTGTCCGATGAGATTCATTCTGCTGGTGTTTGATAAAAGCTTCGAAGTTTTCCATACGCCGACACTGATTGGTACAGTATGCAAATTTTGTACGGCTATTTCCGCCCTCAAGTTTCAAGTTTCCCTTTGCATGCAAACCATTTGCGATGGCTGCCGCGCTCGGCTACACAAATGCTGGAAAGTTATTTATTTATTTATGGGTACGCTGGAAATATTTTCAAATTCCATCCATTTTCGGTGCTATAAATTAATTCTCCCAGGACGCCCGCCTGCGTGACGCTCGCTCTTGGTCTTCCCTACGCCACGCCTACAGCTATCCTTGTTTTCGTCCATTTCGGGGCGGTTGTCTGTTGCCTGCTTTGCACCTCCACGTGACCGGGCCGGGCGGGGCGGGCCTAGGCGAGTATCGGTTCAGGCAAAAGCATTCCATTCCCACGAATACAGACGTGCGGAGCGGGCTGCAGTGTACTACCGCGTAGTACTGACTACTAGCCAACCTCTCGGCATGAGCTCCTATATACCAGGTGGCTGACTCACGCCGCGCAATTTCGCAGTTATACTGTACCGCCTGCACGGGCACGGGCGGGCTTGCCTATCGTCGCTGCTCACGTCTTCTTATGGCCCGGTGCGCGTAGGCAACCCGGCGGCACGCGTTTTTGCGGTACAGTACAACTATAGTTGTACTGTACTGTGTACTGTGTACTGTACAGTAAAGTACAGATTGACTGGTTTTATTGAAGTTAACTGTAGTTAAACTATAGAAAAACCATGCGGATTTCGCATGGGACCCTCAAACAGGTTTAAAACTGTAGTTTAATTGCAGTTTAACTTTAGATTTACACAAAACGAGTATAAGTTTTAGGTCTACAGTTTAGCATTAGATCCCTCCACCCGGGATACCAAAGTGCGCGGCCTGAGTCAGCCAACTGATACGTTGCCTAGTAGGCATGCGCAGACACTGCCCGCTTCACACATTCGTAGGAATGCCCTTTCCGAACAACAGTTGGTCACACTAATCAGTCCCGCCACCTTCCCGCCGATACACTGTAAAAAAAACCTTGTGATGATAAGTAAGTCATGGCTAAGCTAATTATTTTTACAAACATCTCATCACTGATTTCTCGTCATTTCACGAAAATTCATTTAATAAATGACGAAAAAATCCGACATGAGATTGGTTGTAAAAACAATTAGCCAAAACATTCTCATTTTCATCACAATGTTCTTTTACAGTGTAGAGTTGGCGATTGGGTGGGCAAGAACCAGAGGTGAGTTTACCCGATTCTGTTTCTACCTCTCATCTGACGTGAGATTAGAGGGAGAGAGTGAGAGATAGACAATAGGACAGTCGGGTAAGCTAGCCCGGCCCTTGCCCGCCCGCTTGCCAACTCTGTACCCGCCGAGCAGAGACTCCCCGCGCCGCAGTAACGAAACAAAAGAAATAAGGCGCAAAAGGAAGTGCTGATCTAGTGGGGTGATGGGCCCGTCTGGTCCGGTCCAGACGGCACGGCAGGCGCGGCGGGCACGCGCCGCCGCAGCTACTTCAATGCCAAGGTGAGGAGGAGCAGGGGGCGGCGGGGAGGGCGGTGAGAGCGTCCCGGGATTACGTGGCGGGGCGGGGCGGGGCGGGGCAGGGCGAGCAATGACTCGCTATTTAGCAAGGTGGCGAGGAGGAGGTGGCGGCTACTATAAAGCCTGGTGTCGTTGGGAGCCCATAGGCACCGGAAGAAACTCCTTTTTTAATGGTTTTGTTTCGGTTTATAGAGTAAAGAATAGACAGGCGATAGCGGCTGTGCGTAGCTGCTGGTCGCGGGTGTCCCCCAAGGGCGCGGGGCTCTCCGCGAGGGTCTTATCAATCTCACGGAGTGCCTTGTTTGAACGTTCCCATTGCGTTGGGACCCTTCCCGTCCAGGCCCAGGCCCAGGCCCCGGCCCCGGCCCCGGCAGGGCGGTGGGAGAGGGGGCCGGACGGGCCACGGTGGGCCGGGCCAAGCCGTGAAGTTCAGGGCCGGGGTCCCCAGGTCCCCCGCTGCCTACGCGGGTCGCGAGCCCGCCGAATCGCCCTCCCGCGGGCCCACGCCGGCCTGGGCACGCACAACCGCACCGCATTGGCTGATTGGATTTCTGCCGCTCGCTCTACTGGTGGTGTCTTTGCTCTTTTACTTCTCCCCCCGGGTGTAACGCTCGGCAATCGGTCGCGCAACCCCCGACTATCTGGGTCGGGGAGTAAATTCCATGGCGTATGACGGTGACGCACTGGGCCGGGCCGCGCCCGGAGTCAGTGCACCACCCGGACCACCACCAGGTGTCCGCCAGGGTCGCGGTCCCGGACACGCGGACATGACTCACCGCCGTGCTGTACTCGATCGAGCTGGGCGAGGAAGCGCGCCCGCTGGCAGGACCCCGGGTCCACCGAGGCGTGCGGCTCGGCGCACGGGTCCACGTCCTCGCGGGCGGCCGAGTCCGTCACCATGTCCTCGACGACGTCCTCGGCGCTGCAGGACGGGTCGAGAACGCAGGTGGCGGCCGCCATGGCAGAGGCGTTGTCGTCGGCGCGCAGCCCCAGGGCGACGTCAGCCTCGGGCGTCCACCCCCAGGCATGAACAGCGAGCAGGGCGCTGAGGAGCACCACAGAGCCCCCCAGCAAACACACGGACCTGGGCGTTGGCCCCATGACCTGGAAACAAAAACCAACAGCTCTTTTACAAACAGTTTTCATATGGCCCCTTGATGTTGTGTCCTTTGTAGTGAACCTGAGCTCACAATTAGGACGGTCCGTACGCTCGTCACCCAGTCTTCTGTTTCAGTTGTAGTACACCTTGGAAAGGACCCCGCTGCGACCTGGTGGTCCCTGACATGTGTTTAAACCAGGAGTTCTCAGTATCCTCTTTGTTATCTTCCCACGAGCTCCAGAGCGCTTCGTCTCGGCTGTGCTGAGGCTGGCTGCTCGGGCTCGCCCTGCTCTAGCCGTGGTCCAACACCCTCCTCTCCGCGGCCCCACCCGGCCCTAGCGTCCCTGCGGTACACGTTTGAGGTCCTAGACGAGACCGGTTTTGCCCGTCGAGAAGAACCGTCTAGACTGTCGCGGACCGGAGCACCCAAATACCAGTCGAGAAATTGAATGTTCCCCGGGGAATCCCGTTGTGTCGTCGCTCCATGCAGGATACCCGGGGGGCTATTTTTAGACCGTGTCAGCTGGGCTCTCCCTACGTCTCTAGAACGCAGCGAGTGGAGATCGTGCGTGGAGACTGGTCCGGACGGCCCGGGGACTTTAATGCCAGAGCCGTCGCAGAGCATCGGGGGAGAGATCCGGCGGGCTTGGGCCCGGCCCGCGGGCGAACGATGCGACCCCGTCTCGCGAAAACGGTGGCACGCGATCTGCTCAGTCATCATCCGGGGCGAACCGGTAGTCCGAGTGTGAGAGTGAGTGTGTGAGTGTGCGTGCGAGCAGCTGCGGGTGTGGAGGGAGGGCGTGCGAATGGCGGGCTCGCTGGACCCGAGCCGAGGCCTGACCATAATCATGAATGAATTATCAGGCAAACACGCTCGTCGACGCCTCCCACGGAAGTAAGACATTGCTATATTCGAGACTCCCCCCCCCCCTCAGCCCGCATTTACTAATAATGCCGATGACCGAGATTTTAGCTCTGGGTAAACTTGAACTTGGCCTTGCCTAAAGCGCCGACCGCAATGCGTGCAGAGCGGCTCAGGGGGCGCGCCGGCAGAGTCTGACCGCAAACAAAGTGAGTACCGAGAGTGAGTGAGTGAGCACGATGCACCCGCCAGCCGCAGGCAAAGTGAGTACCGAGTGAGCGCGAGTACCCACCAGCCGCGCCTCTCGACTCATTGTCTCGACCACTGGCAATGTTTGCCCCAGGGGCGGTGGGGAGGGGGAATCAGAACCATCAATAAAGCCATATCGTGGCCTAGTACAAATGAATGGATGAGACTGCTGCTACCCGCGTGCCAAATAGTGCAAAGCAACAACAGCTTTAACTCTTTCTTCTGAAGTGATGCTCATTATTCACTTTTGACTGTGACTTCATCCTCGTCAGGAATTCTTTCCTGTAGTTTTTCCTACTCCCTAATCAGATTGTATATTTGCTGGTCTATGGGACCAGCAGCAGCAGTGCGGCACTTCCCTCACCCCGCCCCGCCCCGCCTCTACTCGGACATACACAGGTCCGTGTCACAACAACTCTTCGCATTGTTCCTCCGCGAGGCGACAAAAGATCGAGGCACATACCGTCGAAACTAACGACACGGGAGAGCTTTATGTTGGGTTGGGCCACCGCGGCCGCCCAATGGCGAGAGACAGAGAGAGAGAGAGACATTGTGAGAGAGCGAGAAGGAGCGGGAGAGAGATGAGTAGCGGGGTGGGGTGGGCAGAGGCCACTCCCCTGACGTGGCGCCGAATTGGCGCGCAGATGCAGATCGTTGAGAGGCCGCGGAGGACGCAGATGGTTTCACTTTCGCGCGGTCAGGGGCGTGTCGCAGACTAGAGGGGCGTACCCAGGCGGCCCCTCTTGCGCCAAACTAGCCCGCGGCACCGCATCCGCCAGCTCAGTGAATGCAAAAGTAACACGACAAGTTTCACTCATTAATGGGACGCTCTGACGTTGTGTTTTTTTTTTTTTTTTTTTTGTGTCTCCTTCGGCCACAAATTAATAATTCTAGCTGATTATCCCCGCGAGGTTGATGACAGCCGTCGCCGCGACCCGTCCTCGTCCTTCCCTGCGAGCTGCGAGCCCTGGGGCAGTGCGGAGCGGGGTGGGGTGAGGCGGGGTGGGGCGGGGCGTGGCGGGTGGGGCACGCGTTGCGACATGAGCCTGTCCGCCCGAGCACGCACGAGGCTACTCCCCGGCTCCCCGACCCGACTCATCAAACGCATTTGACGGCCACACCTCCTCGGCAGCCTCCTCGCTCTCCCCTCCTCCCCTCCTCCCCCCCACTAACACTAACCCTCTCAGTTTCTCGCGTTTTGGGGTTTGGGGGGCTAAAATTTTCGTTGATATCGTTCTGTTCAATCCAGAGATGAGTCTTTTAAAAATCTTAATCGGGCAGACGATCCGATAAAGACGACCTTCCTGCCGCACAAGGACAACCGCGGGGCGTGTAAACGTAAAGCAATCACAAGCACCTGCTTGCGTCTCTGTCGTGACGTCGTGACCAGCTACTGGCTCGGCTGCTGGTCACTGGTCGCGCCCACGACTTAACCACAGAGGGGCAAAAACAGTGTTGGTCCCGTCGCTGCATGAAAAGAGGAGAAACAGACAGTCCCGTGTCGAAAGACCGATAGCAAAACCGGCACCTCCTAGAAACGCTAAACGCACACGGGGCGTGTGCCTCGCGGCGATCACCTGGAGGAGGGGTTGGAGGGGGGGGGGGGCAGAGCTTCATACCGCTGTGAGCGTCTCGCTATGAAAGATAAGAATAACGACGACTTAACGACCCCGCGGGAGCCAAAAGGGGCGACGTATAGAGGGAGTAGGGGTGGGCCTGGTCGCGACAAGCAAGATGGGCGCTCGGGGTCCGCAGCACAGGCTGCAGGGGAAAGAGAGAGAGAGAGAAGGACGAACGGGACGCGGATGGGACGCCCGTCAGGCGGACCAACAACGAGCAGGCGTGTCTATAGTAGGCAACTAATGGACAGGTTGCGGCCGTGCGTAAAGGTTAGCGTCGTCTCTTCAACCATGCACTATCCATAAGCTTCACTCGGCTTCACTTCAACGCCGCGCATCAGTGTGTTTTTTCTCTCTATCCCCTCCTCCCTCCAAACTCCCTCCTCTTTCTTGACGACGACGTTGATGATGATGATGATGCCATTTTCTGCAGATGCCTCCCTGTCGCGCCTCCGCAGGCTCTCTGGACCAGTTCCACGCTCTGCGAAGGATGACCACCCGGATCCCGGCGGACACCGCGCGCATTCAGAAGGCGGCGGTGGTTTTCCAGCATGACTGTCGCTGCACGTCCATACGCCGTATGAATAGGGCTGGGCGCAGCGAGCTCTCAGAAAAGACTTTTATTCTTATTTCTTTTCCCAATCCTTTTATACATTGGCTGCTGAGTATTTATTTCAGACTCATCACAAAAAGAGACGAGTTGTTGACATTGTGGTCACGCCGCCACAGAGTGAATGCAATTGAATCAATATTGTCTACACGCTCCCGGGCTGGACTACAACTAACTATAACTGCTCCAGCTGGGCGGGCTTGCGAAACACAGAGAGACCGATACCGCGACTTGGCACAGAGCCATCTTTACGGGGCCCGGGGCCCGGGGGGGCTGGCCGACCAGGTGCGCGAGGATCGGGCGGGAGCGTTAAACCCTCGCACGACTATTTCGCGCGGCTCCGGGGGAGATTTACAACTATCGCGCACAAAAGTCGCGAGCTCCACGTACCAGTGCCG